ATCCACCCACCCACTGGCAAGCGCTAGAACGGATATTGGAGGGTGTGTGCGTTGGTTTTATGTCCACTGTGTGGACATGTGAGTATGTAAATGTGTTGTGGCAATGTATAGTGGTGGTACGCATTAATAGGCGTGTCGGCCATAGCCCAGTGTAGACGGCCATCTTAGGCTGAAAGCACCATATCCCGTCTGCTCTGTGAAGTTAAGCAGCCTCAAGCTCGGGTAGTACTCGGGTGGGTGACCACCGGGGAAGTCCGGGTGCTGTCTACTTTTTGCTTTTACTTGAGCTTTCACTTTACTTTTATCCAATCTGAAGCATGGTCTAGACGTGTTTTTTCACGCCGAGTCCGAATATCGAGGTTAGAAAGTCCAATTCGGACCCTAACCCCTTCATATATGGCAAAACGTAAAATTGCACTTTTGTTTTTGCTTTTTATGAAGGGGATGTGGAACCTTTAGAAGTGGTCTCAAGGGTGTTCTAGGGGTACTTTGTGGTGCTCTTTCACGTGGACATGTCGGAGCCTGCGACATGTCAACGGAAACCTGCCAAATCGTATACTCTATTTTTAACCACTTTCAAACGTGTGTTTGGGGGCAAAGCCGTGGTGCGTGCCCCGGCTAACTCCAAGGGCTAGACGTAGTTTTTCACGTAGAATCCGAATATCGGGGTTAGAAAGTCCAGTTTGGACTTTTTATGCAAAATGTACCGAAAATAAAAGGTCCATTTGGGACATGGATCGGACATAGCCCTATGTAAAATCACACGGCGGATCCATTGCCGCAATCAGAATTGGGCTATCTCTTACCGTTCCCAAGTTATTAGACCAAACGTGTGCAACTTAATGAAGAAGTGTGTTTTAAGGTGGTTTTGGCCCCTTTTTTTCCCCTCCAGCTGGATCTGGCCTGCAGACGATACGGGAAAAGTTGGCGCATATGTCCGCACGAGTGACCCCAAAGTTACAGCGATCATCTCCCAGTGGTTGCCGAGTTATTGCATTTTCCGTGACGCCAAAATCGGCCATTTTCGCCGAGTTGCAGGGCCAAAAACTCGGGTTTTGCTTCATTTGGGCGTTGTATGGCCCTACAAATCCAGGAAGCAAATGAGGCTGCCATGTGAAAAAACTGTACTAGGGGTGCTTTGATGCGCTCTTTCTCGTGGTCAAGTCAGATTTTGGCTATATTCAAATGCCTTGTCAAGAAACACTTTTTTCGACCTAAAAATCGACCTTTTCGAGACCTCAAAAGTAGCCATTTCACTAATCGATTCTCTATTTTGCTTATAACGTCAAAAGTACCGGGCCGATTGCCGCGGATTTTAGTGCGATCGGCTTAGAATTGCACGACGAAAAAAAGTCTCCATACATGCATAGGTCGGTTTCTAACAACTTATTGACTTGCATCTTCTTTTTTTTTGGTTTCCAGGACTTCCGCTGAACTTCCAACTCCACTCGGGTTTCCACTTCGAAAAAAAAACTGTCATCCAAACACAAAAGAGGAACTTCTACTTGGATCTAGTCGACAAAAAATATACCACCGGATGCGGAAAAGTGTGCTGATTACAAATCTCAAAACAATCTTCGCCTTTTTTTGTTTCTACCATATGTTAACATGTTTTTTGTACATAACTATCTTAAGATTTGACAAATCGACGGATATCGACATATAGGCAGACGTGTTTTTGCATCGCCGACATGATGGTAAAAGGGGCAACCGCCAATTCCCAACCGTTCCCAAGTTATAAGGGTTTAACCACCTTTAAAAACGCTGCTTTAGCGACGACATACCCTCCGTTTTCGCCCAAATTCATGCCTTCTTTGCTTCATAACTCGGCACAGACGCAGCTTTTTTGGTTCGCACCACAAGGCAATTTTTTTCCTTTTTTTAAGAACGCATCAAAAACAACGTTTTCTTATAATAGTATGGTATACAAAAAGTGCAATCCTG